TCGCTCGCGTGCAGACAGCTTGCCCTACGCGCTCGAGTCAGCCAAATATAAAAAAGGGGCAAACTGTTCGATTTTTACGTACCTTTGCGTGTTGTGCGTCGAGTTTTGCCTGCCCACCGCCTAAAAGAGCCTGCTGGCGCTTTTGGTGGATAGCCGAATATAGCCGTTGGCATTGAAACAGGCACCTTTTCGGTCTTGTCAGCATTGCAATAGGTAAAAAAAAAAAAAAAAAAGTAAAGAAAGTGAAAGTAAGAGTGCAATGGGGGTCCAATTCGAGTGGCGACGTCCTTTTTAGGAAAACAGCCAATAGGGTCGCGTCACGAAAAGAAAAAAAAGGAGACGACGCTTTTTTTTTTTTTTTTTTTTTTCTGCTCTTTCTTTCTTCTTTTTTACTTTTTTTTTTTCTATCCCATCTTCCATGTCGTCGACGCAAGAGCTCGGGCTGAAGATTGCGTATGGTGCGCTGATGACGATGGCTGTTGTGCCGATCTATGTGGGGTCGTATGCATCGCTTGCGTGCATGAAGCGGCCGCGCAACGCGCCCAAGAAGAAGAAGAGCACGTCGCCTCTCGAAGACTCTGACGACGAGGACGCGGCGACCGAGACATTGAGCGCACAGGATGCGTGGATGTTCCCTGTGATTGGCTCGGGCGTGCTTTTTTCGCTGTACTTGGTCTTCCGCTATGTGGACAAGGCGTACATTGACATGATGATCACCGTGTACTTTGGCCTCATGGGCACGCTCGCCGTTGCAAAGACCGCGCTGCTCTTTGCGCAAAAGACTGTGCCTCTCGCGCTCCTCAAGCCCATTAAAAAGTACAAAATGTCCATTGCGTGCGAGGGAAAAGGTAAAAAATTGAGCGAAGAAAGAGGCATTGCGATGCCAATTGGCGTGGCTGACACCCCTGTCCAATTTTTTTTTTTTAGATGTGTATCGCCTGTCGTTCTCGGTGGTGCACTTTGTTCTGCTTGCTCTTGGTGGTGCGCTGACGGTCTACTATACCTACACCAAGCAATGGATCGTGTCCAATACGCTCGGTCTGTCTTTCTCCATCAATGCGCTGCAATTGCTCAATCTCGACTCGTTCAACACTGGCATGATCTTGCTCAGCGGCCTGTTTGTCTATGATGTGTTTTGGGTGTTTGGCACCGAGGTCATGGTCACCGTTGCAAAGGGCTTTGACGCCCCCATCAAGGTCATTTGGCCGCGCGACATCATTGCCTTTTGCCAGGGCAACACCGACATTTCCTTTGCCATGCTCGGCCTCGGCGACATTGTCATCCCAGGTAAAATATAATGGTAGAGGTCACACATGTGACTGACGCGTTTTTTATTCAAAAAAAGGCATCTTTGTCGCGCTGTGCTTGCGTTTTGACCGCCATCAGTCGTGGAACAAGAGCCCATCGGGTGATTTCCGTGCGACGAGCTTCAGCAAGCCCTATTTCACGGCGTGCATGATTGCCTACGTCTTGGGTTTGGCCACGACGATGGGCGTCATGCACTTTTTCAAGGCCGCCCAGCCCGCGCTGCTGTACCTGTCGCCCGCTTGCATCCTGTCCGTGCTGCTCACGGCTCTGGCCCGTGGCGAGCTGTCCGAGGTGCTGAAGTATGTTGCGGAGGAGGACGATGAAAAGGCAAAGGACGAGAAAAAGAAAAAGACAAAGAAAGATCGCAGCCGTAGCCAGTCGCCCGCCGCCAAAAAGACCATCGCCGAGGAGAAGGATGCTGACGACACTGCTTCGTCCACCGCGACCCCCAAGAAATCGGCCAGCAAAAAGAAGAAATCCAAATAAGCATGATTTTGATCAATTTTGTTCATTTACTGTTGAAAAAGAATGAATTCCATTTATAAAAACGACTTTTTTTTTTTTTGGTCATGGTATGCGAAAAAGTAAGAGAAAAGAAAAAAAACAGGGAAATGAGAGCGCGTGTCGTGGCTCAATTGTATGTGACATTGAGCACGTTTGTCTTTTCATAGTCATTGAGATGGCGATACATGGGTGCCTAGAGAGAGGGGGAAAGAAATAAAAAAAAGACATGAGTAAGGGGCTTGACATGACGCGACGACACGCTTCCAATGGCCGATTTTTGGGGCATTTTACCAGAGCGCGCTTCTTTGTAGCAATGAGTTTGCTCTTGACCATGGCATAGCGATAGACATTGCTTGCGTCTTCGTTGCTTTGCAAGGTGAAGAGCATATTGATGTGCTCTGACGGGTCATTGCGGTAGGTGTAGTCACGGACGGCCTCGTAGCGGAGGGGCTTGCCTTGGACATCGTCGGGATTTGTCTTTTGGCGCTTGATAATGGGTGTGCTTTCGTCATCGGGCAAGAACCAGATGAGGTACGTGTCGTTTGCGTCGTGCGGGTTGCTGATGGGGCGCAGGATGCCACGGTCGGTGGCATCTTCCTGGCTGGGAGCGTGGCTGGATGAGGATTCGGCGGCACGTTGGCGTTTGCGCAAGCGATGGGCATCGGCAGGGTCCGCGGGGAACTGGCCAAGCGTGTACACATTGTGCTGCAGGTGCCAGTCGGGCAACACGGGGGTGATGGCCTTGGCCTTCTTCTTGGTGCGCGGGTGTTGCAGCGACGACACGTCGGGCGGCACAAATGTCTTGAGAATGCCCTGGATCTGACTCTCGGCCGTGCGATATATGTGCGCCTCGCGGTCCGCACGCGACATTTTGCTACTCCGGATGTCCCGTGTCGCGGAAACTTGTTGCTGTTGTTGAGGCTTGCTGCTTGTCGTTGCAATATATTCGGAACGCCGCAGCCACGTCACATGCGAACGCTTCGACGCGCCTCCAGCACCCGTCTCCTCGCGTGGTGGAATCATCAGGATGCTGTCCTCCTCACTCACTTGCCCTGGAGGACTGTTGCCACGACGACTCACTATAATAATATTAAAAAAAAACATCGGTGATGAGCTCCCCGGATCAATTGGACATGTCAATCGAATTTTTTTTACAGTACACTCGGGATGGCTCTCCATGTTATCTAGGTAGTCGACAATCAATTTGTCAAAGGGAACCACAGACACAGAGTCTAGCGCCAGCGCGTGAGGCGTCTGCTCAATCAGACTGTTCGTCTTGTACTCGACGTTGCGCGTCGCAAGCGCAGGCAGGTCGACCAATTTCGCCCCAAAAGGGATCGCAGGCAGCTTGTTGCGGTATCGCACTCGGCAAACATAGTCGCCGCGGCTCTTGCTATAAAAAAAAAGGGAGGGAGGGAAAAAAGCCGTGTCGTTAAACTATTTGTCTCAAAATGATTAAAAACTCGCGACGTACGACTTGGATGACATGGAGGAGTTGATTAAAAAAGAAGAAAAAAGCAAGAGCAAGAAAAAGACAAAAACACCACCGAGGGATGAGGGGAGTCCAAAAATTAAAACGCCAATTCTAGCGCAAAACGCACTACGGCCATGTTATTTCGGCGACGGAATTGGCGCAGCGAGCTGAAATCACGCTGGTTCGTAGCTGGCGACCAGACCGCGCGTGCAGACACGTCTTGATCTCGGGAAAGCGCGCGTGGTGATGGAAAGCACCATTAATTGATGGAGTTGGCCAGTTTTACGTGATTTTACGAGCGAAAAAAGGAGTATTCTCGGCGTCGTTGCTTTTCGTGATGTCGGCGCCTCTCTTGCCAGTCGCACCGCCTTCAAGTTTCATAGGCATCCAGCAACCTTGAATCCTTGTAAATGAATAAAATAAAAAAGTAAGTGTTTTCTTAAAAAATATACTTTTTTCAAGAATCGATTGGTCGTGTTTCGTGCCAGGTATGTTAAGATTGCATCAGGCTTTCGTTTGAGCCTACTCAGATTGTAAAGTGGTCAATAGATGGCGCGCAATGACTATTTTCAAAAATCACGGATTTTCCTAGGGGTACAGTCGAGGATTTGAAAAGAGTGAAATTCAGGTCGTCAGATGGCTACGCCATTCAACCCCATGGTATATCCCCTGTCAAAACCGACAAAGAGACAATAAAAAACAGAGGTCCATTGACTGGGTTTGACGAAAAACGAGAAAATCTGCGATTTTTCACGCCAAGGCAAACTTGACGAAGATTCGCCACAGCGCATTGAAAATTGTTTCAGCAGAAAGATCCCGGCTTTGTGCATACGTGGATATGGGTGATTAATGGAAAATGGATTTTTTGCTAGAACGAAATCGACACCAAACTTTATTAGTCATTTTCGACTCGCGTTAAACCGCGTCAAGCATCGGCCTAGACGCGCCTGTTCCTAACAAATTCTATGCATCTGGAGTCTCTCTTGCTAGTAGACACGTCGGCACGCCTCGATGAACGCGTTCTTCCCGTGCAAATCGCTGTTGAAATTAAATCTAAAATTGCTCATTGCTCGTCAACGAGCAATTGGACTTGCTTCTTTTTTGTCATTTTCGTCGGTTTCGCATCCAGTCCCATATCGTGTGCAAGCTTGGTGCAATTCTGGGGACCCAAATTTTCAATTTTGGTTTGAGAGCTCGGCACAGCCAAAAAATTGCTTTGCGTATGGCGCGCCTCAGCGTCCTTTTGGCAGCTCCCCGTTGGCTCGTGGATGTGTTTTTCACGCGTCTCGTCAAGACTGGACGCATATGACGGCGTCGCGGTGCGTGATTGGCGGTCAAGCTGCACGTTCTTCAAAAAAATGCAGTTTCACACCAAGCGCATACATTTTTAGCACACGATCGGCTCCCAACAGCGTTTTCTTACGCGCCTGTTCATTCACATCTGGCAAAAGCGTCGCTACAACGAATAGACTGTCATTGGTTGGCTGAAACGCACCTTTTTGTTCGCGTCACCTTCCTTTTTGCACAAATTCGGTCTGATCCACCATGCCTGGGCAGCGACACATGCTTGTTTACGCGAATCCATAGATATTTGGAAATAATAAAAAAGAAACGCACAGAGGCACTTGAATCACGACAAAAAAGAAAAAAGCGAGACGCCTTTCTAAACTCCAAGGAAAACGCATCAAAAAGTAGCCCACTTTGGCCGTTAGTGTACCGTCAACGGGACTCGAACCCGTAATCTTTGGATTAGGAGTCCAATGCGTTATCCATTTCGCCATGACGGCAATGCATCGCGGTGCAAAAAATGGTTATTCACATGGTTTCTTTAAAATTCAAAAAATCAACAAAAAATGCGTCGTATGAGAGAACAATGGACTTGAATTGTTATCATAGCTTCAAAAAATGTTGGAGACACGTGTGTGGCGAGTAATGTGCTTGCAAAAACGGCGATTTGACTTTCAACCTGCCCATAAAAGGCAATGAAGCCAATTAGCATTGTGATGTGAAGTCCGCCGTCTTGCTCGGCCAATGAAATCTCACGGAAAATGTACATAAGCTCGCTTGCATCCCTTGCAGCCCACCACAACGGCACGTTTGGGTGCCCTTTTCGCCATTTCGCTCTTTTCACACGTTCCTCTGGATGGCCATTGAGACTCGTCACGACATCCTGGAATGTTTAGGACGCGTGTATGACTCATTGGCAGCGCATTGGGTCATTATTCTTGAGAAAAAGTGGTGCTGAGCTTTTGATGACGTGGGATGGCGGGGGATCCCTGCGGCGACAGCGATTTTTTTTTTCTTGTTTGTCTTCTTTTTTTTTTTTTTTTTTTGCGTGTTCCCTCATGGCAACGGACCGAGATCAAGTGGTGGAAGACCCCGTCACGGGTCGTGCGCCGTACAAAGACTGCCTGTCGTGCAAATTGACGGGTGCAGCCGCGTTTGGCGGCTTGGGCGGCTACGCCTTGCGCGAGGCGTGGGTGATGAACAAAAAACCTGGCAAGCTGCCGTCCGCTGTGGGTCTGGGCGTCGTGGGCGTCAGTAAGTCGACGCGTTTGCCCCAATTCCTTTTTGCTTTTATGACAAACGTGCTTATTTTGTATTTTTTTTTTCATTTTAGTGTTCGTGTCTGCTGGTCTGTACCGTCTTGCGCTGTAGCTTACGTGAAATAAAGTCGTTGCACAGAAATGATGCAAAGTTTGAAACTCCCACTTGATTTTCATTTCATGTGCTCCTTTTCATCGTCTTTCTTCCTCCTTTTGCCTCCTTTTTTTTTCTTTTCTTTTTTTCTCTTCGTTTTCTTCTTTCCTTTTCCCCTCTTCCCTTTTTGCATTCTTTCTTTCCGTCTCCTTTTCCTTCTTTCCTGGTCTTTTACCGTCCTTTTATCTAACTCATCTATTCCCTTTTTTTGAAATCTCCCTTTGAACCACTCTTTTTTCTTTTTCTTTTTTTTCTCACACCAGCCCTTCATTCATCTTTCCTTCCTTTCTCTTTTGCGATCAGCGCACACTCGTTCTCTTTCTTTGTCCCACTATACCTCATCTTTCTCTCTTGTAGACCCCCTTTTTCCCGTTTTGACCCGCTTTTTTTTTTGAAACCATGGACGACCGCAAAATGAAGCGTAGCAGCATGCTTGCGTATGTGCCTGTGCACCGCCGCGAGGGTGGTGGCGACAAGCGCTTTTCGCAGGATAGCAAGCGATATAGCCAAGACAGCAATGGCTATCGTAGCAGTGTGGACATGAAGCGCGGGTGGCGCAAGACAAACAACAATAGCAGCAGCAGCGGCTCCATGGATGGCGACGATGACGACGACATCAACACGGCACGCTTCTCCAATTCCTCTTTTTACTATCAGCAGCAGCAACAACAGCACCATCATCACGATGACCGCCATGCAGAGGAATGGGATGATCTTTTACGACAATACGACCGCACAGAGGATGACGCCACTCTTGCTCGCAAGAACAAACGCGCCAGCCGTCTCATGGACCCGCTGCAGCAGCAGGACACTCCAAGTAAATTGGGTCCATTGGGATGAGAGAAATATGGAAAACAAGGAAAAAAGTGGAATTGATCGCATTTTTTTCTTCTTCTTTCACAGCCTTGGTGCCCTTGATTGAGGAGCCGACGGTGATCTTGGACTGCTACGACTTTCCAAAGTCGTTCAAGACGCACCATTTGCACGACATCTTCCGCGAATACGAAAATGTGCGCGGCGGCTATCGCATCAAGTGGATGGATGATACCCGAGCTTTGATTATTTTTGAGCACCCAGCAACGGGTAAGGAGAACCCAAAAAAAAAATAAACGCCTTGCATGGCATGGCATCGCATTTGGTTCGCCATTTGCATTTGGGCTCATTCCCTCTTTTTTTTCCCTTCTTTTTAGCCAAAAAGGCCTACATTGACAATGTGAACCATGGGTATGCGCGGATCCGCCCTTATGAGGGCCCCACCGACTTTTTAGCAGGTAATTCAAGCGGGCTACACAAGGAATGACAGGCTAAACCTTACCTCTTTTCTATGAAAAATAGCGCCCACCGCCCAAAGCAACCGACGATCCATGACGTACGATGGCAAGCGACACAGCGGCCTGATCCCTGTCCCGCTCAAGTAATTTATGGCGCGTCTGCAGTCTCTGTCTCTCTGTCTCTCTCTTTTTTTTTGATTGTGTTGATTGTGTAAATGGATGAAATAAAAGAAAACGGCAAAAACAATGCAATATCACATCATTGAGTGTCAATTGGGACCCAACAAAGCGCGTCGTGCCAAGCGGGCGATTTGGCGCGCGATCAAAAAAGGCAAAGAGCATCCCTCCAGTTGGGACAAGGGGGGCGGATTTTGAGCGGATCGGGTGAAATCAGCCATTTGTAAACAAAAAGCAGCCCCCCCTGGCCAGATTGCTCTCTTGTCGCCTCCCTGCATGGCGTTCTCTCGTTTCTCCTTGGAACGCTGGCCATTGATCAGAGAAATAAAAAAAAAAGAGACACACACGCAAAATGAACAAGAAAAAGCAAAAAGGATGAAAATTGCAATAATCTACGGAAACCAATTGGCTTTTTTTTATTGCTTCTATTGATATCAAAATGAAAGAGGGTGCACACGTTTAGGCGGTGGACTCCTTCAAGTAGGCGACAACATCGTTGCGGTCCTTGGGCTAAGATCAAAAAGAAAAAATAATCAAGGAAATTCGTCAGTTTCGCGCTCGCTCTTTTGGATCTAATGCATGTTCTCTTCATTTTGAAATGTTCCAATTACCTTCTTGAAGCCAGCAAAGGCCATCTTGGTACCGGGGATGTACTTCTTGGGGTTCTCGAGGTAGTCGAAGAGGGTCTTGTCGTTCCACTCAACGCCGGCGTTCTGGTTGGCGGCAGTGTAAGAGTAGCCAGCAGCTTGGCCAGACTTGCGGCCAAAGATACCGTGCAAGTTGGGACCGACCTTGTTGGCACCGCCAGCCTCGACGGTGTGGCATTGGGCGCAGCGGGTCTTGAAGAGCTTGGCACCAGCAGTAGCGTTACCTTCGGACATGATAAAAAGAGTGGGGGGTAGGAGAAGAAGTAAGAGTGAAAGGAAGAAAAAAAAAGAAAAGAAAAAAAAAGCAAAAAAGCCCTTCCACTTTCGTTTTTATCAAGAAAAAAATTTTCAAAGTCACCGACCATGGCCCGCAAGGTGGGCCAATTTGCCCCCCCTCTTTCCTCCCAATGGACGCTAAATTCTTTGAAACACCGCCCAAATAGAAAAAAAATCGGCTCAGTTAACCCATGTCTGACAAGCCAGGGGGGTCTTTTTCTTTTTTTTTTTCTACTCCGGCCATCCGCCAATCCGGCGCTCGCCTAAATCTTTTCGTCGCAAAATAAAGCCACTATGTGAATTAATCCATGGTGTATGGCCGGCGCGCAGCTGATGTCATTCAAACAACCTGACGATTCAAATGTCAAGGCTCTAAAACAAAAACAATTCAAGCACGTGGCGCGAAGATGTCATCTTTGCAATTTTTTTGGGTCATTTTGTTGGCCTGCCATGACCTCTTTTGTGCACCCCTGATTCAGAATGCAGCAATTGTCGTTGGGCTGATGACAGGGCGCGGGCCACGCTTTGCCAGCACGCCCAGGCGGCCCAAACTTGGCACGTGATGAAAAAAGCGCCTATTTTCTCAAAAGTGCTTAGTAGACCAGCCGGCCGGCACGCGGCACCTTGTGGCAGTAGCATGGTCAACACGGCGGTACGCGGGGGCGAGAGAAATCGCGTGTGACACGTGTCAATGGCCAATGAAAAGTCGTAAAACGGCGAAATTCGCGTTTTTATACTTTTGACAAGCTTTTACAATGGCCAGATGCACCCCAATTGTGTTCTATTTGGCTCTTTGTATTTATTCATACTTTGAAAAAGGTCACTATGTGCCGACAAGGAGAGAATCAATCAGCCAAAGTCGTGATTTCTTTCGATTTACGCCTTTGTTGATGAATTGTCCTTGATGAATCAATCCACATGAACGCAAATTTGAACCCGCAGCTGCTTGTTTTGGACAAAAAGGCAGCGTATTTCAATTTGTTTGCCATAATCGACTTGACATGCTCTATAAATTTGATTTTTTTAGCGCGCATCATGGCGTGGCGAGACACGATTTTGGAATATCTGGTCCAATAGGTCAGATCATCGCCAAAATCGGAGAGACGGTGGACGCCCTTGAGCACCACACAGAAGTGCAGATTTCATAGAAATCGGCCGTACCAATCTCGAGCAAATGGCAATTTAATGAGCTGGAAACCATTGTTTCAAATTCCCATCCCTCAACGATGATGCGCGCTAGAACCGAACACTCAACATTTTCTCGGAGAGAATTCTCCAAAGTTCCATGTATATGCATTGCGCGGTGCAGAGATTATTCACAATCCGCCGTATCGACGCATCGAAAATTACCATTTAAAAACACGGTTTTGACGCGTCGCCATTCACGCGCAAAGCGCGTTTTTATGCGATCACCGGCATCCACGTGTGCATATGAATATATGCGAGATATATTCGTTTCAAACCGCTAAAAGTACATCTTCCATCCATGGCATTGAGTTGAAAAATGGTGATTCTTGTGCTTCTTGTGCTTCGACATCCATTTTCTCCTCAGCCTTCCTAAGAACCTTTGGTTTTCGACATAATAAAAGTTGATGCAGACGTTGCGCTCTTGCGTGCTTCTAAATTTCGTGGCAGTCCAGCATCTTTTTAGATTTTGCACAATTTGCCGGGGGTGGTCATCCAGGATTATTGGCCAGTTTATTTTTTTGGCGTTTT